GCATGCCTAGATGCGGAATAGTGCATTGATGTGGTTTATCACATCGCGGTAATCGGCCTCGGTAATCTCCTCGAATGTCTCATCCAGAACGTGTGCAATGCGCTTGCGCAGGTTTATCGGGAGAGCATCCGTGGTCCTTGTCCCAGCCAGGCTAACGTGTCCGCGCCACTGTGGCGCGAGGGGCGGGGGGACCATTGCTGCACACAGGCAAGCTGCATATGGGCCAGGGCGGAAGCCGCATTGCAGTAGAAGACCCTCCCTTGCTTCCCAGGTCACCCTCAGCAGCAAGATATCGTCCAGGATGAACTCCTGTGGAAAATGTTGGGACAGTGTTCAGTGTAGGTGCCCCCTGAAGCTGTTGGCTCTCCCCAAGGCACAGAAACCCAGAGGACAGTGCAGCCCTGAAACAATCAGTCCCCCTTACTCACCATTTTGAGGCTCCCGTGGGATATGTGTGCTCTGTTTCGGACGGCAAAATTATGCTATTGTGTAGACCCTGTGTGTTTTCTACTCCTTAAGTGTGGGGGGAATCATTACTCTGTCTGGTATAAACAATGCTGCCTCTGTTAAATGTTGCATTTTGCCTATACAGCAGCATCAACCTTGAGACCTCAGCCGTCCCTCTTATCGCCTGCTCAGAGACTGCAAAGACTCAGGAAGAGACCGCGAAAAAGCAAAGAAGACATGCTGCAAGAAGTGATACAGCAATCTATTAAAGAGAATGAGAAAGCACAGGACTGGAGGGAGAGAGAATGCAGGATCCGCCAGGAAAACGCAGCGCACCGGCGGCAAAGCACCGCGCACCGGCAGCAAAGCACTGATAGGCTCATAAGCATCCTGGAGCGCCAAGCAGATGCTATCCAGGAGCTGGTAGCCATGCAGAAAGAGGAGCAGTACCGCAAACGCAAACGCCACCCCCCCTACAGCCCTTGTCCCCAAACTCTTTCCATTGTGCCCCACTGTCACCTCCAACCCACTTTCCCCAACTTCCACGTTCTTCACGCCACTTGCTGCCTCTAACACCAGTATCTTCACCACCCAGTCCTGAAAACCACGACCCTTACCCTCTGCACTCAACCCCCATCACCATGCAGTATAGCTGTCCTGAAGTGCAGCACTCACTGCACAGCACATCTGACAGGACATATGCGAATCTGTGATTGTACTGTTCCCCACTCCACCCCCTTGTTTCTTTTCAATAAATAATTTTTTTTCTTTTCAATAAATGGATTCTTTGGCTTTGAAAACATTCTTTATTATTGCATAAAGTAAAAGACTCCTTAGCCCAGGAAATAAACAGGCACTGCAAGTCTGCTTGTCTGCTAAGCAGACACTGATGCCTAAAGATTGGAACTACTGCACTTCACTCCCGTGCAGGGCACCAGATATCACTGCTGGTTTTCAGCCTCAAATTGCTCCCTCAAGGCATCCCTAATCCTTGCAGCCCCGCGCTGGGCCCCTGTAATAGCCCTGCTCTCTGGCTGTGCAAATTCAGCCTCCAGGTGTTGAACCTCGGAGGTCCATGCCTGAGTGAAGCTTTCACCCTTCCCTTCACAAATATTATGGAGGGCACAGCACACGGATATAACCATGGGGATGCTGTTTTCGGCCAAGTCCAGCTTCCCATACAGAGATCACCAGCGGCCCTTTAAACGGCCAAAGGCACACTCCACAGTCATTCGGCACTGGCTCAGCCTGTAGTTGAACCGTTCCTTGCTGCTGTCAAAGCTCCCTGTGTAGGGTTTCATGAGCCACGGCATTAACGGGTAAGCAGGATCTCCAAGGATCACAATGGGCATTTCAACTTCCCCTACCGTGATCTTCCGCTCTGGGAAAAAAGTCCCGGCCTGCATCTTCCTGAACAGCCAAGTGTTCCGAAAGATGCGTGCGTCATGCACCTTTCCGGGCCAGCCTGTGTTAATGTCAATGAAACGCCCACGGTGATCCACAAGCACCTGGAGAACCATAGAGAAATACCCCTTCCGATTAACGTACTCGGATCCTAGGTGGGGTGGTGCCACAATAGGAATGTGCGTCCCATCTATCGCCCCTCCACAGTTAGGGAACCCCATTTGTGCAAAGCCATCCACTATTTCCTGCATGTTACCCAGAGTCACGGTTATTCTGAGTAGGATGCGATTAATGGCCTTGCAAACTTGCATCAACACGATTCCAACGGTCAACTTTCCCACTCCAAACTGGTTTGCAACCGACCGGTAGCTGTCTGGAGTTGCCAGCTTCCAGACTGCAATAGTCACCCGCTTCTCCACTGGCAGGGCAGCTCTCAATCTCGTGTCCTTGCACTGCAGGGTGGGGGCAAGCTCCTCACACAGTCCCATGAAAGTGGCTTTTCTCATCCGAAAGTTCTGCAGCCACTGCTCGTCATCCCAGACTTCCATGACGATGTGATCCCACCACTCGGTGCTTGTTTCCCGAGCCCAAAAGCGGCGTTCCACGGTGCTGAGCATGTCCGTGAATGCCACATAGCATCGTCGGACTCCTCACCCTCACTCTCACTGTCACTTTGGATCTTAATTAATAGTTCGACAGCCAAACATGATGTGCTGGCGAGACTCATCAGCATACGCCTCAGCAGTTCGGACTCCATTTCCCACAGACAGATGGCGCTGCATAGAAACCGTTGAAAGATGGCGCCAAAGGTGGACGGAAACAAAGGGATTTCTGGGATGTGAAGCGATGCATCACGGGGCATTGGGACAGGACCCAGAATCCCCCGCACCCACGCCCCCTTCCCACAACCCATGCGCCAGAATGGGAAAAGGTGCTCTGTGGGATAGCTGCCCATAATGCACCGCTCCCAATAGCGCTGCAATTGCCGCAAATGTGGCCACGACAGTGCGCTGGGCAACTGTCAGTGTGGACAGACTGCAGCGCTTTCCCTACTCAGCTGCACAGGATTAACTCACAGCGCTGTACATCTGCAAGTGTAGCCAAGGCCAAAGGGAGGATCCATGGAGCTTACAGAAGCTGCAGAGCAGCTCCAGGTATTTAGCACACTATCGGAAGGCCGAAAATGCAGCCACAGCAGAAGTTAATTGAGTCCCACTAACGAGGCAGCTGCAGGAAGCTGTAGATCTGTTGGGCCCGCTTGGTCTTAAGAACCAAGCAGCTAGCAAAGCAAGCAAGTCAGCCAGATTCCAAAAAGCCTGACAGATGTAGGACAAAGAGCAATGTGTGCCATTGTTACACTGTATTTAAAGAATGACAGCGTCATGAGTCAAGGTGTACGCTGATCACCTCAGGTGGTGGGAAGCGATTCAAATCACTTCCCCATGAAAAGTGTATAATTGGCCAGGTGCATTATTGTGAGATTTGGGCTGGTTGTTAGGTCACCTTCTCCTAGAATACGAGGTATTGGCCCTTGACAGGGACAATATGCTGGGCCTAACTGACCAATGGTCTCATTCAGCATGGTAAACTGATGACCTAGTTGGTTCGGCAAGTATCAGAGTTCCAAGTCCACGCACGTCCATCTGCTCTTCCTCCCTTCTAGACCTTTCGGCCTATAACTAGTGCCTAGCCTGTACCCACCCTACCTGCCAACCACAGGGCCACTAACAGCACTCACACAAGGGCCACCCCCTCCGTCTAGCGTCACAGACTCTCCTGTCTGCCTCTCTATCGTCCATGAGCCTCCGAGGCTGGAGCACCCACAGGAAAAAAAATAGTGGGTGCTCAGCACCCACTAGCAGCCCTGCCGATCAGCTCCTTCCCCTCCCTCCCAGTGCCACCCGCCTCCTGCTTTCAACGGCGTGCAGGAGGTGCTGCGGGGAGGGGACGGAGCTAGGGCGGGGCACGCTTGGGAGAAAGGTTAGAGTGGGAAGAGGCAGGGTAGGGTGGGGCCTTGGGGGAAGGGTTGGAATGGAGGCAGGGCCTGAAGTGGTTAGGAGGTTGAGCACCTGTGAGACTGAGTGTACACCGTGTGTTCAAGCAAGTATTTGAGCATGCGGCTGTCTGTGTGAGTTGTGTACACCGGGTACTATGTGAGCAAGCACGTGGCTGTGTGAGCTGTCCACACTGGGCACTGCACAGACTTGTATACTGAATATTGCATGAGCAAGCTTATGACTGTGTGCCTGGCTGTGTGAGCTGTGAGTGTAGGGCACTGCAGAGACATGCATAGTAGCAGCCTGCGTTCTCTCTCTGTTGTTTGTAGCAGGCTGGGCTGGTGCAAAGCCATTGGTGTTTGTTATCCTCACCCATGTACTCCTTCCCCATTACAGGCATGCAGGCCTCATAAATCTTACCCTGAGAACTGGCTGAGGACAGGGCCGGGGCAGACAGCTGCATGGCTAATTTTAGTGGCAAGCTGGAGAAGCAGAGCAGGTTTAGTCTCTACAGAAAAAAGTCACTTTGAAACAACATTTGCCATGTGCTTAAAAATAGACCCAGACATTAGGATTTTATTGGAGGTGGCAGGGGTCCCATCCCATTAAAAGCCCCACATTGGGCCAATCACAACTCTCCATCTGAGAAGGGCTGGGCAAAGCTCTGCTTTAAGACAATCCCTGCATCGCTTGGGTCAAGTGGAGCAGAAGCCTGCTGCAGCGTGACACAAAGGGCTTGTTACCATCAGTTGCTGAGAGGGGCTGTCTCCACCTTACTCCCAACGCCTCACCATGCTGGGGAGCGAGGGACGGCTGCTGGGACCTGAACTCCATTCCCCAGCATGGCAGTGTGATGCACCGGGAATCCTCAGGGCGCAGTGACAATTCGCTGAATCTTTTTGTACCTCTAAACATGTTCATTTCACATTTGCAGTGAAGTTGTGTCAGTTCTGATTTCATTTTCTTTACAAGTGGCACCAAACTCCCGGTTCCAGACACCCCTAGAACTTTAGAAACATTTGGCTCCAGGTCTGGCTCTGACCAGTGCAGCTTGTTCTAGCTCTGATCTAAACCTGTTCATCCATCTGTATATTTGGCATATTAACTACATTCGGACAGACCCAAATGGACTCCCTTGTAGCTGCTGCCTACCTGACTGTCCTGGAGTGTTTCTTGGTGTAAGGAGTGATGACTTTGAAAAGCAGCTCCATGGCGCCATTAATGCCTAGTTTGGTTCCTGCAGAGACTGTGACAACAAAAGAGACAGGGAGTTAGATCCAGAGCAGTAGGCTTGGGTTGCTGGAGTTACAGGTAGTGCAGTGAAGAGAGGAGGAGCTGCTGGGATTATTAGAAGATTCTCTGGGCTTCCAAATGGGTCTCTTTGACCATTTTACAGATGTAGAAACTGAGGCACATAGAGATCAAAGGTCACAGAATGACTCACAGGCAGATTCAAGACTAGAACCCCATTCTCCTAACTCTTAGCCCTGTGCTCATTCAAGTAGCTCACAGTTGCCTCATCATTTGTAGAAGATGTTGCACTCTCTAGAGACAGGTTAGGGTTAAATGGGGCCAACCAATCCACTCACAATTTCCAGGGGCAATTCCATACACGTGGAATATCTGCTAGGGGCTTGGAGTGCGATAGGAGAGAAGGATTTCTTTCCTTTCTGCACTAACCCCGGTTTTTTCTGCTCTTGGGATAGGTACTTCAGAGTGCAGATGGAGCCCCACCTCAACCACTGCTATCTTTAATTCTTCCCTTGGCAATGCTGTTAACTTTTGCAGGCAGACACAGTGGTGTATTGGGGAAAGGGCTGCACAGAAATTGGCTGCTTGGCTTTAAAGCTAACCTACAACAGTCCATCATCAAACCTCCAACCTCACACGGAGAGGGGAGAGCAGGGGAGGTTCAGGGGCTCGAGTGCGTGAAGCTAATAATGGGGGCTCTCTAGGTGAACAGGGATGGCGTACAGCCCAAAACAGTTAAGTGCTTTGAAAAAGGACAGTTTATTGTCCTAACGGGGGGAAAGAATGAGAAATCAACGTCCCCATCAGCAGCCAGCGGGAGTCTTGGATGCCTGCCCAAGGCTGGGGTTTTTGGCTGCTTTGTAACTAACTATCCCCCACTGGCCAGAAAGCTGCCAAAGGGCCCATCCGCTTATGCGGGTCTCAGCCAAGTCATCCTGCTGATGGAGAGTCTTGGAAGGCTCGCTGGCTACTTTCACAATAGCAAACTATTCATTGGGACAGTGCAGCGTAAAAGGCTGCTTAAACTCGGCTCCCCGCAGACTGGGAGGCATGCTGCACACAGGGCTGGCAGCCCACGCTGGGAAAGGAGCAACCCAGGACAATAAGCAGCTACAGGGAGATCTTAACAAGGCCGGGCTGGCTGCTTAGACTCCTACCCCCAAGGAGCCTTCAGGGTGTTATATGCTCCTGGGTTCTCTACTGCTCCAGTCAATTAGATCAATGGTTCTCAAAGCCAGTCCGCCACTTGTTCAGGGAAAGCCCCTGTCAGGCCGGGCCAGTTTGTTTACCTGCCACGTTTGCAGGTTCGGCTGATCGCGGCTCCCACTGGCTGCGGGTTCGCTGTTCCAGGCCAATGGGGGCTGCAGGAAGCGGTGCAGGCCAAGGGACGTGCTGGCCACCCTTCCCGCAGCCCCCATTGGCCTGGAGCAGTGAACCGCAGCCAGTGGGAGCCGCAATCGGCCGGACCTGCGGATGCGGCAGGTAAATAAACCGGCCCGGCCCGCCAGGGGCTTTCCCTGAACAAGCGGCTGACCGGCTTTGAGAACCACTGAATTAGATGACTTGGAGGGAGGGAAATTCTCCAGTTCTTCACCACATCCGTAAAAGCCTGGGCCTATCCCAGAACAGCGCCTATGTCCTGGCTGTGTACAGATGTGGCACTGAACTAACAGAGCCAGTGCTGCATGGGGTGGAGGAGGTAGGACGTTCTGAGGCACTGGGGTGGGATTCACCAGGGGAGCTTGTGCAGATCCTAAGGATTAGGCCTATACGGCACAGCACAGTGATGAATTCCCCCTCAGGCCCTTGGTGGGACGTAGGAACTCAGTGACAGGAGAGATTTTGACTATGAAATTGGGGGGCAGCGGGGACTGGGAACAAAACGTTTGCATTTTTGCACCAGCTTCTTATGGAGATGCTTAGGTACTATTGCAGTGGGAGCTTAGGGTCACTTTAATGAACTAGAGAGTGTGTTTGCAGGGCTCAAGGTCCTGACACTAATGGAAAGGGTTAAAGGCCACAGTGCAATGGGCTAAAGTCTCTGAATTGGGATGCAGGTGCACTTAATGAGAGCAGAGGGAGTGTGGAAAGGGGCTCAGTGTGGGAGGCAGCTCTGGGTGAAGCTGCAGCTCTGTAACCCAAATTAAGACACATTTCAGCTGCTGTCTCTATTACACTCACCCTTTCAAATGCTGCTTATCTCAGGCAGAGGGACTGAATGCTGGGAGCTGGCTGCCTGACTGAGAAGGCCCCTACAGTAAGGCCAGCTCCTGTGTAAATACAAGACCTAGAGGGCTGCCAGCCAGTAACGTTAAATCTTAGGAGGAAAGGTTTGGAAAGCTGGATGTGTACAGCTTGGCCAGCCAGTGAGGTGAGTATATAGCAGGGGAGAGGGGAATATGACAACCATCTAGAGTTATCTGCAGGGGGAAAGTAGCCAGGAGGGAGAGGAAGTGGTTAGGTGATGCAAAGGGATGCAACAGAATGAAAGTGAGCAAAGGAAAATTTGTACTGCCTCTCAGAAAACATTTCCCCCTGGGGAAATATCTGAATGCACAGTGGTCTTTTGAGGGAAGAGCTAGGAATCCCAATGCTTGAGTCACTGAACACTGGAGAATACAAGAGGGAGGATGGCTCGGTGGGTACGGCTCTAGTCAGGGACTCAGAAGGTCAGGGTTCAGTCTGTCACAGACTTCCTGTGTGACCTTGGATAACTCATT